TTTTCGAAGTCTGTGTTGGACATGACTTCATGAGCCGGATGTTTGCTGGTAATGGGCCAGGCAGTTGCTTGCCGTCATCAGTCCACAGCATCCCCCATGTGTCACTAACGGTCTATTTTTCCCCCTGGTGCTGCCTCGCTTTCAAATGTGTCATTTTATTGTTCTGATTTCTCCTTCTTACCACCACCCCACATCCACCCCTCTAGGGAGTGGAATATGATTTCACAGAACATTAAGTGGATGGGATCTAGAGGGAATAGTGAGGGGGGCGATGGTGGTGGTGAACAGGGATCTGGCCTAATTAAGTAGTTGTGCACCTTCCACCCATCCTCCCTCCTCCTTTGTTCCCCGATTGGTTAGCAACTTTCTTTGTGAAGTGTGTAGGGCAAAGACGAGTCATAACACAGACTTGAGGAGAAAGAAAAATATTTTATGGTGCAGCAGCCTGTGCTATCCCAGCTGTCTTTGGGCAGTAGGCGGGGGGACACCCTGAACCGGTTGCCATCCAATCGCAGGGCACACACATCCGCGCTCACACTCACACCGAGGGAAAATTTAGAGTGTTCCATTAGTGTTCCTGCCACAAACATCTACATTTCTACTTCAAGTACCTCACCCCTCACACCGACATGCCCAAGACAGTTAAGGCAGTGCTAAAAAATAATGGTGGACGCACAAAGTATTGACGCCTTGGGCCAAATTAGTCATTTTCGCTTCGGGTTGTGCTCACTTCTGTTGCCAGATGTTTACACTTTAACAGCTAGGTGTTGTCTTGATTTGACGAGACAGTAAACGTACACTGTTAGATTGTACATGCTGTACACTGACTATTTTACATTGACGCGAAGTGTTGTCCCATGAAAAGATTTTTGTTTTTATGATGGGTGTACTCACTTTTGTGAGATACTATAAGTGCACCGCTGCAAAACTGTAAAACAAAAATAAAATAAAAAAATAAAAATACAACTAACCCAAAAGACCTTAAGCCACAATAACATCCACAGATTTAACATTAAATTAGGTGATCCTTTTACACACCTCTAGAGGGAGCCTGCGTAACACTACAACTCAATCCTGCGCATTGAACGTGTCAGTGAAATGACGGACGACTCTGTGTGTTATGGTGTCACCATTACAGAGGCATGAGATAGGTCGGCGTAGCAAGAGGGTGTATGGAGGGACGTCACATGTCCTCTCCGGCATGTCGGGCGCAGGGCAAGCGCGTGATTGATGGCGGAGGCAAGATAACATCTCATCGGGGCGCAGCGCACAAGGGTGCCCGGCAGCACAATGATGGACGAGCCCATAGACACGACATAAAAATCGAAGCCCGAGAAAAAAAAAAATATATATATATATATATATATATAAACAGATTGCCTGCTCCCGTTCTTAACTTGTAATATATAGTGATAGAAATTTGTTTCGCAGCCCATTGCTGCAGACAGTGATGGATGCCAGAGTGAAGGAGAAGAAAGCCGAGAGGAGAGCGAGATTCGCCATCCGTGCGTTTCGCACGTGTTTGTGTGTGCGCTAGCGGGCGTATTGTGGAAATGTGTCCGTGTTCCACGGTTTCAAACATGACTTTTTGCCACGGATCGATTCACACAACAGACATAAATAGGAAGTCGTCAGTTTCATCTTGGGTGGACAACAGGTACACAAAGCCCAATTTTTGGAGCTGAAGGTGGATTTGTCGCCAACAAATCCTAATTTTGTTGTTTGGAAGGCAAGCGAATGAGACGCGGTCGGTGGATGATCAGAAATGGGGTTGCCCTCTCTGAGGTCATTTTACGTTCGACATGCACTTGATTCCAGACTTTCAGATTGGAATTTTGACTTTTTTTTCTGCATTGAAACCCCCCCCAAAAATCCATACCTGTATGTTTAATATTTGTAATCTTTTTAATATTATTAATAGTATTTTTAGTGATGGGCAAGTACTGATACCTGGTACCGCTAGCAGGCCGATACTGACCTAATACTCCAGGCTGCCGATACCGACTTCCGATACATAAGCCTAAAATAAAATAAAACAAAAAAATGTTTTTTAAAATCTGACAGTGAGTAAGTCCTCCTCGGCTGCAGTTGCCCCTACCCTGTGGCAGTTTGACACATGGGTGAATCATCATCCGCGTCGGAAAGAAAGGCCGATGTTCACAATATGTCGTCATTGACATAAAAGCTCAAAAGTACTCCAGGCAGAGAAGAAAGCCATCCATTTTGGCCATGATTCCCGCACGCACACGTGACATGAGCGTTACATCACGTCATACAACACATGCCTCTTGTGTACTCGGGTTGCACAACTCACTGCTGGGTCTTTTTTGAAGCATATATTAACCTGTAGCTATTGATATACATATGGCGTTGAACCCCCGCAGTCTCCGCACACATGTCATCCCATGTGTGTCCTCGGGAAGCCTTGTTAGTGTGGCCCGGCACACCTACGTGTGCACACCACACCGACCACCTCAGCACATTGTTGGCCTATCAAATGGACTTGTCGTCACGAATCTCCCAGTAGCTGATGAATATTGGATGGGAGTGGATATTACCTCGATGGAGGAGGCCTCCCCCCACCAAGGCGAGCGAGGCTGCACACTCAGCAAGTCAAGTGCTGCCCCACTGAGACCAAATCGAGGTCGCGAAAAAAAAAGAAAAAAAAAACTCCCCTCCGGTAATGAAGCTGCGGAATTGTCGTGGATTTCGTGTCCCGGCCACAAAAGGTGAAAATCCACTCTGTAGAAAGACTGTATAAAACAGGACTTTTTTTTTTCTTTAATTCGCTTTCCCCCTCCCACATGTTTTAAACACAGTTAAACTTATCCAAACACACATACTTTCTGTTTTTTGGATTCAGTGGCACTCATCGGGATTGGGAATTGAATCCCGATGAGTGCCACTGAATGGAACTCATCAGGATTTCTGGATTGGGAAAGCTTTCTCTTTCCCAATCCTCCAAAAAAGAGCCCTGGCATGCTTGCTTCAAGTTGTTATTTTTCACTCCCGGTCGAAGTTTCCTGTAAAACGGCTACATTGAAAAATATAATCAGGAAAATGTAATCAAATAAAAGTCTGATAGCTTAATGCTAACATTTCATGTACAAACAAAAATTAGCGTGAATGTAACTGTATTTTCAAACCTTCAAACAACTCTTACATTCACGCAGTGGTTCTCAATTGGCGGATTGCAAAGCCATTTTGGGTGGGTCGCCGGCAGTTAGCAAAAAAAAAAAAAAGGAAGACTATGGACTATACAATGTAAGCGACAGGAAAGCTGCCCGGTGCTGTAGCCACGAGTCCGTATACAAACAAAGTGCAGCTCAGCCTCTGGCGAGCAGATGCCATGGCGAACGACATGCTCTTGGCGATACATCAAACTCATTAGAAACGGCATTTGAAAATGGCACGTGCTCTTCATGTGTTTTCAGAGGCTGTTTTCAGACAAAGGCCGTTCTTTGTCGTTCATAACTTCTATACAAGTGAGTCCGGCTTTGCAACAATTGGAAAATGCTGGTGCCAGCGTAACAGCAGTTGAGATCCACGGCCTCAAAAGACAAGGAGCAGTAACATGCAAACAGGGGAACAACCGACTATTACTGGAGTTTAGATAGGAACCTTCTCTGCCAATTCTTCTTGCTCTTAAAAAAAACATCCTCCTCTCCACCTGTCTCCATAAAGCCACAATTGAATTTGAAACCACTTCCCTTTCATCATCGCACGCGGGGGACTGTAATTCCAAAAAATGTTAGAGGAGGATTTCCGAGCTTGTTTGCATTCGTTAGCTCGGGAACATAATCCACGCTTGTGCCGGGATAGATAAATGAATCTGGAATAACTCAATCCTAAATGCGTCCAATGACAAATTGAAGAGTGTCTTGCTCAGCTCTGCCCAATGTATGAGCCTTTGTAATACAAACGACACCCTTTATATCACGAATTCTGTTTAGTAAACAAGCGAGAGCTTTTTTCCGACGTGTTTGTCAAACTTTTAAATCATGAATGCACTAATTCCTCATTGCATCTTGTCAAAGTAAAAAAAAAAAAAAAAAAGTCTTAGATGAGGTTGTTGTAACAATGTTCCCATTATGTCAAGTCTGTCCTTTTTTTAGACACTCACTAAAGCTCCTGCGAGGAGCAATGAATAAGCGGAGCTGAAAGGATGGAAGGCGGAAGAGACTTCGCAATCGCTGTATTATTTATTTTGAACACTGGGGTTGAACCTTGATTTGTTTGTACCATTTCTTTGATCAACCTCAACTTGGAAAAGCTGAATTTAAGTCTGTATTTATTCATTTTTTTTAAAGACGCCGAGAAAAATTGGTGGATGTACACAACATGCATTTCCAAGAAAAAAAAATTGGACTCTTGATCACAATTGAATTCAAGTTGAAGTGTCACAATGAAAGAAAGTCAACTTTGGTCTCCTTTTGATGTGCGTGCCCTTGATTATATTACAGACATACGAGGATAGATGAAGATGGTCTAAACTCCTCAGTAAGCCGCGGTAATATCAGCTGTTTTTGGCAGAGGATAAAGAATAGATGCCTGTGAGAAGTGCTGTATTGTCGGTCTACATGTGTTGCGCATACTTTTCTATTTTCCTCGGTCAGCAATCAGTACAGGTTTAGTTGTGATGTCATTTCTTTCGTAAACAGTATTCTGGCACTCACAGTGTATCCGCGGGGCAAAAAAAATTGCCCTTTGCAAATAACGGGTCAGGCCACACCGTTGTACATTGTCTTTGAGATGAGATTTAGCACAGACGTTCACATCATTTACAATCATATCGTCGCACTCAAAAGACAGACCTCCATTTTAAATAGGAGAAAGATCCATCTTCGCCTCATTTGCATATCAAAGGATCTTCCCAAACAGATGGCCGTCGATTACATTCAAGGCTTGGCTCAAGTTCAGTGCAAATGTGTGATGCGGGGGGGTTGCTGTCCATGTGACGATCTGGCAGTCGAGACATAATTGATCGCTCCCTCCCCCAGGCTGGTTGGTGGCGGCCAATCAGAGGCACCTGTGTGAACCTCCACGACAAATGCCTGCGCTGCCCACTGCAGTTTGCCAGTCCGTCGTGGATGAAGGGTCACAGAAAACCCCCAGGCAATGTAAGTCACCACATTGAGGTCAACGTTGCTCTTGTTTCTTTGAGCCCTGGGAACACACATAGACGGGCTGCGTAATCTGCTGTTGCTACCCGACCTTTCTCAGTAAAGACTTATCCTTGCTTATCTGAAACTTACCTCTGCCAGCTTGTCTGATCTGCTGATGCTACTTGACATTACCTATTGCGTTAATAAAAAAGAAATTTTTTTTTGCCTTTTGGTCCAAAAAAAATTGTTGGCTCTCAACGCTCCACTGTATAGTCTTCTTTTTAAGAAGTGCTTCCATCAGATTTTTTTTTTTTGGTTTTTGGACTCCAGTAGTGGTCAACATATGGCTTTGTAATTTGTTAAGAACCATCATTTAGGACCACAAAAGGGAAATTCATGTTTTCCAGTTCCTCTGGGAGATATTGAGTTGTTTGCCAACACTCATTCAGTTGTTATGTGTAATGCTAACGGGGGCAAGTAGCTTGAGCCTGACAAGGAGGGTGGGGGGTTACAACACGTGGACACAAAAGCCTCAGCAGATGCGAGCCCAGAGTGATCTCGCCGTGAGGTGACATTGCTGAGCACTGTGACTCTCTTTGCCAAACAATGTTCCATCTGCTCGTTAGGAGTTTCCTCTCTCATTATGTACACTGAATAAAGGCGACAGTGTCCCCCCCCCCCCCATTGATCCTTTTGCACTCCAGCTTTATGCAGATTTTGAAGCCAATAAAATTCAAGTCAATCCATGTAATGATTAAAAACTCACCATAATGACAAATCCCAACCGATTATAATCGTGATGCCAGGCAGCATTGGCGTCTAGTGGAAGAATGAAAGAACGAAGGGGCAGAGAAGGTCCCAAACTAAGAAGCAGCGGCGGATGGTGTCTTTCCAACGTGGGCCTTTCTCAAGCGGCGGCGTGCAAAGCACAGCGAATGCTCAGGGGCAGACGGATGATTTTGGTGCCCTTGAAAAATAATTTGTCCACTTTATGGCCATCAGTCACGGCAGGATGCCTCTTCAACATGCCGCTTCGAAATGGCCGATGGGCATTCCCCGAAAAATTTTGGTACCTATTGTCGCTTTCTTAGTACAGATAATTATTGCCTCGAATCAAGTCATGTGCCTCAAGTCTCTGTCCTCTGGTCAATTGCATGAACGAGAAACTCATTTACTTGCCGCAAACCAACAAATGTGACTGTCAGTCAAACAGCTTGCAGCATTTTACTTGGCGACCCAGGAAAAATGGATGCTGGGGCCCATTTCGGGAGAGTTTGTGGGAGGTGATTGGATGACGTACACAGGCTGCTTTCAAAGTCAGTCGCTTGCGTGGCCTCCCTTTTGCCAAGAAAAAAAAAAACAGTCGAAGATGGTCTGCCTTCAAGGGCTGCAGCAACATGTGATCAAGCCGCAGGTCGAATAGTTTCGCTGCCGGCGAGTTAGGCTGCATTGATGACTCTTCAAATGGCCCGTAATGCAATTTCACGTGTTCCTTCGGGGTGAACATACGTGCCGCGTAGAGTACTCACGCCGAGGGTCTTTATTGCACACAAATTGAATTTGATATTCCCTTATTGCGCCGTGATGGTGGAGCAATGACACCGAGAGACCCTCTCCACCGCACGCACGCCAGCAAGCGTGATTGTCACCATGCGGGCTTGATGGAGCCTCCGCATTTGCTATTGATGAGTGCCACTGGATAGGATGACGGCGCAAAGTGAAACCAGAGAGGCTTTCGTCGCATGGGGCGGGGAGGGAAGCGGTGACAGAGGCGGTGGTGTGATTTTAGCATTTCAACATTGTCAATTAACAAGACGGGTTGAGCAAGCACACGGTGTGGACGGCAGCGACAGGTGTGGGGAGGAGAGGAGGGGAAAAAGAAAGATTCCAAAAGGCAGAAGTAGAGAAAGAAGATGGTTATTTATGCATGGAGGGAAGGGCAGCAGGAAACAAAAACTGTAAGAGAGATGGATGGAAGGAGACGGAGAGAAGGGTGAGGAGATCTATGAAGCTCTAGTAGATAGGAGACAGGAAGTTGACAACCCCGTTCAGTGATTCAGAGCATCCCTAAAAAATTGAGTACCGGACCCCAGTATATCAGCAATACAAGGAAAGTAAACAATTGAAGCACAAGCGGCAGATTATAAACTGCGTTCAGAAAATTCATGTGTAGCAGAGCGCACTCTGCTACACACAGAGGACGAGGACGGTGAAATGTGCACTTACTAACTACATTACAGTTTTTCTTTTTAGTTGAAAATGGCTTACCTTAACCAGGATTCCACATCACAATCCTGGTGGGTTGATGCGCCTCTTGTCACAGGAAATCCTTGTTGTGGAAATCAAAATCTAGTTACCATAACTACTGTTCTTCTTCTTTTTCACCTTCTTAGTCTTCTTCCGCTGGAAGTACAAGGATTTACAGCGCCAGTATTTATTTTTCATTTTGCATTTTAAAAACGCAATGTATATGGTATCACAAGTGTTTACAAGAGTGGAAACCGTGTGACGACGTTGTAATGTCTTGATTGAGGCCTGAATCTCCCCTCGAAAAAAGTCCATCTCTACTTTGTGGCAAATTCACCCAAATGTATCACCCACAAAAAAAGTGAGGGAACACCGTATTACATCTGGGTCTGGACATATCGTTGGCGATAAAAGGGGTTGAACTGATTAGTTGTCTAGTCGATCGTTCAACTTTACTACTCGCCATAGACATTTAACGCTTGAAAATAACTCATCGGTAATCATGTGTTTTCTCTGATGCCGTCTCCCGACTTTTTTTAACGCTGTGTGGAGCAGTGAAATGTCCGACCAACATCTTCCACCGTCCTGAGACTACGAAAATAAACAAGCGGCAGATGCAGATGGCGGTTAGCACCACTAGCTTTCGATATTCTGATCACTGTTTGTCTTAAAAGATTCATAGCAGCAGTGCCATTTTCCGTGAAACGGGTCTGTAACACAAATATGGTTGTTTACCGCTGTAAATGACATCATCGGCTTGACTTTCACATTGTAGTCGACCATAAAACCTCTTTTGTCATTCAAGCCCTTATTCACCGTACACTGAAAATACGTAAACTAAGCAGACTCACATTTAAAGTTTATCCTCTACTTGGACTGCAAATCTTTATTCACTATTATTTTTGTTATTATTCACCGCAATGATTTACAAAAAGATACCTACACAACCTCACAGGCGCGCGTGACATGCAGTATCAACCCATTCGAAAATCAATGCATCCTTTTTTTTTTTTTTTCCACACATTGGCGTGAGGTGAATAACTGCAAGTTACGCAAGCAGCTTTGATTAGGTGAGGTGCACTGAGCGGATGCACCGAACAATATATACACACAACACATACACACACACACACACCTCCCATGGATGAAGCCAACCTCCCATGGAGACAAGCAAGCCAAAGGAACATCTAATCTTAAGCGTGCTACTCTCAGTGACATCGTCAGATGGGGTGTCATTGAAACAGTGTACCTCCATTCAGGGAGCTTCGGACAACGTTACATCAGCGAGCGGCACGTGTGCTGTACATGTTGGGAGGAGAAAAGCGGCAAGGTGGCAAAAAAAAATATATATATATGGCATCACATGTGAGAAGCGGTGGAATATATAACACCAACGGCATGGAAAAGAAAAATGGAATTGAACAGATGCATATATTTTTACATTTTCATTTGCCGTTAATTGAAAAGTGTCTAGAAATTGGCTGTAGTTTAACATCACTTTCACGTCTATTGATGTACCTACCAAGGTTAAAATAGTTCACAAAAAAATGAAATAAAAAAAACTAATATTGAAAATAAAAATCAATCATTTAAAAAAAAAACTTTTTTTTAAAAAACAAAAACTGATACATTTTACCTTTATAAAACAGCCTAAAAATTAATTTGTGGGCACAATCAAAAACGACTGTGACAAATTTAACCTGACATAAAGCTTTTTATTGTGACAATACAATACAATACAGTGATATGATCCCATAATCTCATTGCACATATTTCCCCAACTTCATATCTTGCATTCCAATTTCCCGTTTCGTTTGTCACCAAAACCCCCTTTTTTTTTTTTTTTTAAACAAAACAATTTCCTTTCTCTCTGTCAACATGTTCAAAGAACACTAACATAGTAGGATGAGCAATATATTTTGGGAGCTAACTATGCGAAACGTCACAACTTGTCGCCGCACAACACCGATCACCAAACCAAATATGAGCACAGCCGCAGAAAATGAGCGCGATCGAGTACAACGCTTCCATCGTGGCTAAAGAATGACATCGTGACTCGGGGGAATTCTTCAACACAGTGTGACACTTTAGGGTGACGATATGCATTTATAGCCTTTCGAGATGAAACATGCACACAGAAACAACGTCCCCATCTTTTGTTTTCTTGAACTAGAGCGACGTGGGGGGGGGGGGGGTTTTGGGGAGTAGACCACAGGGCTCAGGTTGATCCTGGGAAAAGACCAAGCGGTGTTTTCGAAGGCATTGTGTACATGCGGACGGGGAAAGCTTCTCACTCCAAACGCTGCGTAAAGTTTTCTGGGAAAAGTCCCTTTTGCGCTCCGGTTCCCAGCATCATCCAGTCACTCTGCTTGTATCCCGTCAGCCAGCCTGCTTCCTGCAGCGGCGGCAGCATCGAAAGGACATTTGTCTTGAATTTGACATCGCTCGACAGATACGCGCGACGCCCGGCAAACTCACCTGATCCTCCACTGAAGCGGTGGGGACCACTAAGACCACATCACCTTGCTTCAGGTCCAGCTCGTCGCTGTTGGCTGCCTCAAAGTCGTGCATCGTCTCAACCTGCACAATTTTCCCCCACGTTCATCACCTCAAGTGGTGTTTGGCTTTCCGAGAAGGTTTACTTCAGACCAAATCCAAGACTGACCTTGTACAGGAAGTCGCCCGGGAGTCCCCCCGGAGATGAACTTGTGGGTTTGATTTGAGGTTTGTCGGCCGCCACGCAGTTGTCACTGATAGCCGAGGGTGAGATGATGTCTGCGTCGCGATCATCGTCGCCTTCGTTGCTGGAGGCGGGCTCAATCACCACGGATGGGATGGCCATCATTTCCTGCGCAAGCCAAGAATAACGAAACTCAGCCTGACGGAGGTGCATTGAATATGAAGCGATTAGTCACGCCAATAGAGTGGAAAAAGCTTGGATGCTACGTTTGAAGCTAACGGAGCTAACCCGAGGTCAACGAAGCTAGCTTGCGCCGCGTCAGTGTACGTTAGCAAAGCCTCCGATTGTGAAAGTGCATTTAAATGTACATGTTTGTTATATTGTTAGATAGAAATGAGATCAGAAAGGTGGAAGGGGGAAACTAGCAGTCAATGAAAATGAATAGAAGTCAACCAAGATGTGAAAGTCATGATTATGAAACATTCTAGATTTACCGAAGCTTCGTCGACAGGACTTTGCTTTTTTTCTTCTGGAACTGAA